TGTGCAAAATCGTCCTAAAATACCACTACAGCCCATTGGTCCTTCACCCAATGCGCTATCTTTCAAGCAAGTTAGCGTGGATTTTATCACCGATCTACTGAAAAGCGAAGGCTTCGATTCAATAATGGTCATGGTAGACCATGGGCTTAGTAAGGGGGTAATTCTATGCCCTTGTAACAAAATGATCAGCACATCAAAAACAGCTGAGCTATTCAGACGACAAGTTTGGAAGCGTTTTGGGCTACCCGACAAGATTATATCCAATCATGGAATGCAATTCACATCCAAGGTGTTTTAGGTGCTGGGCAAGGCTCTCAAGATCAAGTCAGCCATGAGTACAGCCTACTATCTGCAGACAGATGGTGAAATGGAGAGAATAAATCAAGAGTTGGAAACATATCTCTGAATGTACTGTGCCGAACAACTGCAACAATGGAACAAGTTCCTATCAGAAGCAGAATTTGCACACAACCTCCATATCCATTCAGTTACGAAGAAGTCACCCTTCAAAATTGGGTATGGATATGAACCACGGGGAATGCCAGAACTCTTTCCACTAGAGGAAATCCCTGATGTTGATATGTGACTCAAACTTCTCAGCACAATCCGCAAGGAGGCTGCAGAAGAAATTGTTAAGGCAAAAGCTCCTGTATCAGCAAGAATTCAAGCAGGATCGCTGATGTTCAAGAAAGGAGATAAGGTCTGGCTAGAAGCCACCAATTTGAAAAGACCATACAAATCGAACAAGCTAGCGCCAAAGCGAGAAGGACCATTCAGGATCAAGAAGATTCTGGGACCTCTCTCGTTCAAGTTAGACCTTCCTGCGACATGGAAGATCCATCTGGTGTTTCATGCTGTGCTTCTCATGGCAGACTAGCATGCATGGGGATAGTTATTCCACACCACCTCCAGATCTTATCGAAGGAGAGGAAAAATTTGAAATTGAGTCTATAATGGGACACTGACTATGGCCCAGCAAGAACGAATATCTGGTAAAATGGGCTGGTGTCACAGCACTGCTGGACAAGAGATCAAAAAGACTAAAAAGGAACGGTCATGTGGAACGTGCTGCCCTGATCTCCCTGATCCCTATAATCCCCCTGAACCCTTATGTGGCTTGAGAGCCTAAGACTTACTTGGTGGTGAAGCAAGCAGTTGAAAGGGTGAGAGAGATATATGAAGGAGCTTGCTAGGCTCAGTGGATGCTACAGTGGTAGACGAGGAGAAACAATCTGAAGTTTCGTCCTCTACATGCTGATCGTATATACATGTACAGGAGCCTGATTACATAACCTTCATCGTACCACTACTACAAAATAGATGATTGGCTATCTACGTATCTAGGTGACTAACGATACACAGAACAATAAGTGGGAGAATCTATCTGTAAGTAGAACAATAGGTGAGAAGATCGATGTTCTCCCGTAGCAATGGTGAGATGATCCATCCTATCGTGGTAATGGCTATACCTTGAGCCAATTGCCTAGACAATCCTGAACAATAGTCCTTGTTCCCTTTGTTCCCAAATGGGTGTCTCTATTGTATCCTGGAATAGACAGGTCCAGCCGTATCATCTGCAGGCCTGGACCATAACATGTGATGTGGACTATCACCTGATCTCTACATGTCATGTCTGTGGCTGAGTGGCATGAGATATTGGTGAAGCACGTGATCTGTGGTGTGAGAAAAGTCACATGCAGACTTTGTGGTGAAAATCTGTGACAGCTGAATATCTGCTCAGCGAAAGGTTGTGAGTAAAGGAGACAGAAATGAGCAATGCAGACGAGTTGCTGAACGAGTATAAAAGGGAGCACAACTTGGCCTGAATCCTCAGTCTCAAATGCCTGTGCAATGCCTTGAGTATCTCAAATCCACTATTATTACTCTCACCCATATCATCGAAGTTCTCGAAGATGTCAAATCCCACTCCTCACATGATCATCGCTACCAGGTCTTCCAACAGCTCAGAGCCTATCTTGCCATTAGAGGACTTGGATTTGCCATCCAGAATCTTGCTGACTTCGACCACACCAACGTTGAATTCAACATGACCCATCCAAACCATAATGGGCCCTCTCATCTGGAGGGCAGACGAGGTCCATGAAGTTCACCTCCTGGATGGCTTCAGATCAACTCAACAACAGCCATACATAACCCCATGCCCCAATGAGTTAATCAGAATTCCATATCTGTTTATTTGTTTCCATTCCAAATGGACAGACCGAAGGTCACACTAGAGGACAACGTCAATATCGATCTAGACAGAACATGGGAAACTTCATGTGAATGAATTATCCAATGTATCTAACAGAGGAACTCCACCTGCTCTGGCTAGAGCCAGATCGATGCTGAACTATCCTAACAGCCATATATGCTGGCCTTTCAGTGGGAATCCTCCCACCATCGTACACTCTAGATCATCTGCTACACTTTGATATCTTACCGGCAGCACTCTCATTCACTCTGGATGCATTCAGTGTCATACATGGTACCGTATTAAGGATAATGACAGTTTCAGTGGAAGAACATACGGAAATGGTGAATATTCAGATCATGGATTGGTACGAGGAAGAGGAAGAGGAATGACTGCTCGAAGGTATAAGTAGCAGTCCTCCTTTCCCTCTACTGGACCATCACCTCCTCCTACTCAAGTGGGAACTCTATGAGGAAATCTACCCTTGAAATAAAGAGAATTGCCCCACTCTACCCCCTCCACCAATGTCGCTTAACATTCGTGTCACCACCACTGTCACTCGTAGTGCCTCAGAGCCAGAACTACTCATCAACAGTGATGGAGAAGAACGGTTGCCGCTGACCAACTCCAATGATAAAGCATTGGCCGACTCCTGGAGGAGTGCATGTTGAGGAGATAATGAAGATGAGACAGGTCATTGGATGACAGGAGGAGCTTGGATGACGGGAAGAGCTTGGGGAGAAGATGATGAACAGGCAAGGAATGCTGACAATAAACAGGCAGGTGACTATCTGACAAACCCTGCCACCTATCACTACAATGACCCACCTAAGGATGGATTGCAACCTGCACCAGATGACATCATTAAGGAGCAGACAAGGTACACTCAAATGGTCAAGTCCTTGAGCAACCCAGTGGAAGGACAAGTGTCACTCATTGCCCCAAATGTGGCATCACCCTATGATGTCTTCATCGTGACACCACTAACATTCCTGATGGAATGTGATGGCCACCATCTCTATGTTCATCGTACGGGCACAGGTGACTTCACCACCTTCCATGCCTTTGTCTTCACTTGAGACAACCTGAAGGTCGCATGGCACCTTTACTCAGAAGACTCACCTCATCACGTCTTCAGTCAATGGGTCATCCTCCTCTATCCACCATCCCTTTCAGGAATGCACAACTGGCATCCAACACTGAACCAGACATGAGTCATCAGTGTTCACTTCACAGGCAAGGAAGAAGGTGTCGAACACTACGAGGTCGAACTATTCAGGATGTTCTTCAATCAAGTTACCTACAGAGACACCAAGACACCTCGTGAATTCATGCCAGTCATCTTCCACCCCCTCGTCGCCATGATCGAGCATCCTGGATGGCTCACCAATGGTATCGATAAACCGGAGGTGGTCTACTATCAAGACAGATCCATTTCACATTGGGCACCTACCGGTTCCCATCCTCATCAAGAGGTGGATCTCAATGATTGGAAGGTCATACCAGACCATACCACCGTTTCAGTCTACAGTCGAGTGACTGTTTGAAGAAGGCATTGATGGGTTAGTTGGTGAGTGGTCATCAAGGGTCTTGCCGGTTGGAAAGGAGAGCTTGTGTTACGGTTTCAGCATCTCTTTTATAATCATGTGATATTTATGGTTCATAGGTCTGGTGGACATATTCTAGGGTTAGCAGTTTTTCGTTTTCATGATCAGGCTCACTCTGGTATTTGCAATCCAGACTTCATCTTGCGTTTCAGGTTTTCTATTTCACCTATGCTTTTCTTAGCTCGCCAATTACATGGCTCACAGCAGTTAAGCTTTGATGTGTTTCATCTATCTTTAGGATAGCAGGACCCTATGTACCAGTACTCCAGACTTAGATCTGTGACTATATAAGGGGCACGGATCATGGAGAGAAGACCAACCTTTTCTTCCTTCTTTGCAAGACCCGTTCTTTCACTGGAACGCTTCTTAACAAGAAGCTTCTCGATACTTCTGATCTTAACAGATCAGTTGGAATCTGCACTCGCTCTCAAGAGGTATTCAAGCTCGTGTGCTTATCTAGAGATCAGAGGGTGAACCTAGTAACCTGTGAGTGAATGTGCAGTAGCCTCTCAGTGACCTAGCAAGAGTAGAGTGACCAAACCTCACTGCTACACACTACCAGGGCTAAGACCCTACTATAACATTCAATGAGGAGCTAGCACATGCTGTAAGGGCACGTGGTTAGAAAGGTTATCTAGGGAACACTTCATAACACTACTTACTGCATAAGACTGACTTGCTCATAGCCTATTGTGCAAGCAGTTGTGGCCCAAAATCTGCCACCCTTGAATTCATTGTCGGAGGACCCCAGTGTCTCCACGAAAATCAATAAGCTTACATCTGCCAGTCCTCCTGTGCTTTTCACTCGAGCCTCAGAGGTGCATCAGAATACTGACAGAGAGCAGGAGATATATGTCCTATAAAGAGTAAAAGGATCTTCTGATATAACTGAAGGCTGAGGTTGAGCACTTGAGTACTGAGTGCTGCTAGCACTCAGCACTCCTAGTTATTTCTTGATGTGTGCTCAGCGCCCAGAAGCTGCCCTTGGTTTCTCCGCAAATGCCCCCTCAGACATAGTGAAGTCAGTATCTGATGTTGTCCCCATCTAGTCATCACTTCATGCAACCGTAATTTCACTGGCCACAATGATGCCAACTCCGCTACCCATGCCTTCATCGCCTCTTCTGAAATTATGACTGCGTTTGCATTCACGGGTGACCTCCACTTCAACCCCCTCACAAATAACTTTACTGGCTCAGATGGCAAGCCATTCTAAGTTCAGCAATTCCACTGGCAAGGAGCTCCCACCCAAGGAACAAAAACCCAGACAGAACACTTTCAAACCTCCTCCGAAGGATCGTGCCAGCATCGAGGTCACAGTCGATGCCAAGAGCAACCATCTCCAGATGCTGAAACCCCTCCATGCCCTGGGATTGTAGGGCCCCTGAGGATGTCCCCATTTTGATCAAGGGCAAGTGCAAGTGCAGTGAGTATCCTTCTTGAACATGCGATTGGGGATTAGGCATTGAGGAAGGATGTCACAATGGACCATATCTCAGCTGATGAATCCTGGCTCAAGCACCATGGACACCTGGAGAATATCTCTCATGCATATATCCCTGCCACTGCTTGGACCACGCTCTGATGTCCTTGTTCGTGTTCTGCATAGAGAACTGTCTGATTGGTGCCATCAACACTGAGAATGGCAATGCCAACAAGGTCAAAAATCAGATCACTGATGAGTATGGCCCTGTCCTGCAGACGGCTGCATATTACCATGATCACAGCATTTAGTGGATTGTCATTGGTGGTTACAACTACGATGAAGGTTCCTCGCATGAGCATGCTGCACTTGAGCCACACTTCTTGAGCAGTCTCACTATCATCACCTGGTCTTTCATGTGTATCCACAAGACAAATTCGAAGAGGCGGGGTATGCTCACGTTGATGTTCACGAATCTGGCCGACTATGACAAGGTGCAGCCCAACGACCGCACATCAAACCTCAGCCTCCAGGATTTCCAACCTGGCAAGAATTTCATGCTCACGCTCAAGCACAAAGGAATGGCTCTAAGGATGAGATTCTGCTTGCACACAGCTTCAACAAGGGACAAATTGAATGGTTCAAGGTGGGCTCTGCACTCAACCTGGTGTGCCTATTCGTATTTTCCTGTGGTTGATCATTTGCTCACCGGTTTCTTGCAGATGGCCACACACATGAAGGCCAAGGTGCAGCAATAGACACGTGCACCGACACAGATGCTGGCCTGTCACCGGTAGAATGGCAAGGTAGGATCAGAATGTGCTGTCGCTGGAAGAAAGATTTTTTATGTAGCTGATTAGGTCACTAGTACTGTTGCAAGTTCACATTCATATAGTTCCTCCCAATCAGCATCCACTTCTGCAGAAGCACACATGTATTTCATGGGATAATCGTATGCCAACAACATGGCACATTTTAACCAGCCTTGTTGCAATTGATTCACATCGGGTGCTGATTTTTTCAATATTATTTCTCAGATGCAGATGTGGACGAGAGTCTCAGACTCAGAGCACTGGCATGCCCATCGAGATATCAAGCGGATGGAGCGTAGAAGCTGATGTCAAGAACTTTGAGTATATGTCGAAGGAAGATATGAGGGCATCAGAGACGTACAGTTGCATGCCATCAGATCTAGGCAGACACAATGGTAGAATTCGAAGGAACGCGCATCAGAATTATTATGCACTTCACTTGCAATATATTGAAGAATCACTGCCAAAACATCTACATAAGAAGTTGCCTACAATTGCGCTCAGAGTTGTGTTCAACTTGACAAGAGTGCACTCAGCCACTGATGCATCACGGTGTGGTCTTGTGGAGGGTAAGGCTCCAACATTTCTATCTATATACTATGTTAAATAGTTTTAACTGTTTACTATATCTGTTTATTTACAGGTTGGGCTGTATATAGTAGATAGATGTTTATATATAGTATAAATAGTTTTATGATGACATAAGGCTATTGAGTGCATAATTGTTAGATTTGACAGTGCAACAGTGAGCCAATTGAAAGTCATAGTGTTTGACAGAAGCCACCACTGACAGTTAATCATCATATAGACTCATGAACATGAGTTTTTTGTCCTTTTTTGTATGATATGAGATTTCCTTGTCATTTGTGGTACAAGTCTTGAAGTTGAATGCTTGTTTTCTGCTCACTATCATGTGTGTGCTGATACACCCAGCTCCTTAAGGGTCCCAACAATCACAGAGGCTGCTCACAGTTAAGTAGAACTCCACTAAGAGATGGGACAAAAAAACTATATAAACTTTATATAAACTGTTTAAAATACATATATACCAACTGTTTACTATATACTATTTATTTACACCTCAGGAGTGTAAATAGTATAAATAGTTAGAGCCTCAGTGGAATGTTGTCAGATTCATCCTGTGTGACTCCAGAAGATCCTTTTCATCTGCAGATGACTATTGTACAGTGTGAGATAGAATCTACTAAGTAGGTTAGAATGCACCTATGACATTTGTCTCAAATTCAGCTGATCTGAGGTGTGCATCCACTCTCTCATCCCCCTCAACAGATATCGGCATGAGAAAGCACTTCGCATCCCATGTCATGATGTGCCACCATGAACTATTGGTCTCATACCCATCATATTCATCATCTATCCAGATTTGATTTGAAACATCCTCTAGATTGTCCAATGCTACATAGCGCAGTGTCTTCACCGCTTTTGCAATGATTTTGGGCAACCTCTTCAGCAGCTGTTCAGCTGGATCGAAGACACATACATTCTGTATACGGATGCACTGAATCTTGCATCCTCACATCAACTTGAAGAGGGATAAGTGCAGCTATCAACTTCTTCATCAGCAATGAGTCGCACGAAGGCAGTTTCTAAGATTGCTCACCATCTATTCATTTAATCAAGTCATGTAATCAGATGCAGAGTGGAGGCCATTAACAATTATAACAAGGTGTCGTAGCCTTGTTCCCAGTGAGACCAGTTTTCGCCAAAATATATGATGAAGCCATAGACTCACAACCAAGGACAGTACAACAGGTGTAGCAGCTGTCACAGTTTTTTCACTACAATATACCTTTGGCATCATGCCAAGGTATAAACCTTAGACATGACACAAGGCACAGACATCACAGGAAGCCACTTATGATCCACCAGGAACGTGTTCAGTCACGTGACCTAAACAAGCACCCACACTAGCGCCCCTAGCATGTGACCCCCTAACTAGCACTCAACTATAATCACCAAAGCCTGCAAGGCTCAGCTATCCCATGTGACACTGAGGCACCTTACTAAGTAGTAGACACCCCATTGGCCACTCAATAATGGCACCACTTCAGTCACCGACAAAGGTGGCACCATGTTATACAATTATCTCATGGGCAACCTCATGGCCAATAGTAGGTAGTTGTCATGGTGAGACCAGAACCATTACCAGTTCTGGCATTATGTTCACATGTAGGTACCAGAGGTCTCACAGTAGCACAAGTGCCAGGGGCTCTGCCATACATGTATATAAGCACCTATGAGGAACTGGGTATCCTCAGTTTCATTCACCTATTTTATGAGGCCTAACAGCCACCACCTCTCTTTTGTGTGAGATAAGGTGAAGGGTCCTTTGAACCTCTTCTTGCTTCATATCATCATCCACCACTGGCAATGAGTCACAAGATGCAGGCAGCACCTTGCAGCCAGCTCCTTGCCTTCTCAGGCAGGAGTCACAATGCACTGTGACATTTGAATGAAACTCTCAACTGCAACCAGCAACGTGCTGCTTGCAGGGTGCCTTGAGATCCAATGTGGACCAGGCATCAGCCAAAGTACCCTTTGAGGGACTGGCTTTTTGGACCTAGACAACGTCCATAAAAACTGTCAATTTACTGCCAGAGTACTCAACACAGGACTGGTATTTTCAGGCAATCCAGGAATCAAGAAGATTGAAAAAAACTAGCGATAGTCTGTGACTATTCAGAAGAATCCTGTGTGGATATGTGGACCTGTGCAGTCAAGAACAAGATTGGTTAAAAGCTACCAAGGACAGAAAAAAGACAAGATGTCATATTGCGAAACCAAAGGATATGAATCAGACTCCGATGAAGAGCCAGTGAGCTATCAAGGAGACAAAGGATATACGACACCATTATCCTGGAACGACGCAACCAATGAAGAGTTAGATTGGTTCACTGACATCAGAAATTCATGAGCTATTCAGCTGCAAAGATGACAAAGGCTGGGGAACCTTATGACTCCAGAAGAACAAGAAGAGCTACGCGAGCTCGAAAGAGATGTTCAAGAAATCTGTCGAGTGATGGACAATCGAAAGGATATCAGGAAGGAATTTGAGGAGGAATTCCTGACACAAATGGAGCTTCCAAGAGGAGAAGCAATACAAGTTGATCCAAGGCCAGAGCACGCCAAAGAATCAAGAAAAGGAAAAGAATGAGAGGAATAAAATCCTCTTGGCATCAATTCGAGCCTATTAGAAGGTGGCAACCAAAATACTATGCCAACATCTACGAAACCCTACGATGGGTTAGAATTATGGAAAGGAGTCAGAATGACACCTTTAACCAGAACATCCTCAGAAGGAGGAAAGCCATCAGTACAATTTGAAGTACCAGGAAGGCCAAAGTCAGCCATAGCACAAGCAAGTGATTTGGGAATGACAGGAAAACATCCTGTCAAGGCATGGTATGACCCAGCACAAGAGCCACCAGTGCATCCAGGAATGACATGTTTGGAATTCCAATGGCAGAAATATCTCCAGAACATGACATTGTATGTGCAGTACAGTTCCACTCTAAGTACGCCAGAAGTGGAAAAGCAACAAATGAGAAATATTTCGTCATTCACAGGAGACAAAAGGAAGTTTATATCATTTCTCAAATCAGTGGAACGACATCTACAGGCAAACCTTCATGTCTACAATGATGACTTTAGCCAAATAGCATTTGTCATGTCTCACTTCAAGCCCAAGTCGACCGCATCCAAATGAATCAAATCATGGGAAGCGAAAATAATTGCACAAACTGGAAATCCAGGAGATTTAGAATCCTATGGCGATTTCTGACTAGCGCTCCTAGAAAAGTATGGAGGAGTTGCAATCAAGGATCAAGCATGGCAGGTGTTAATCAATGGCAAATGCATGCAAGGAAGAAGAAGTGTCGATGATTATATTGAAAACCTCGACATTCTATTCCGCTATGCTGAAATTGATAATGTCACGGTGCATCATAGATCCTGCCAAAAGGTAAGAAAATGGCTGCAAGGTGCTAGACGCGCTCAGTGACCTGCACAAAAGCTAAAATAAGGACCTGCCACAAGGGGGCTAGATCAAAAAGGTATGCAGTGACATGCAGCCTACAAAAAGGGGCTCAAAGGGCCCATAGCCTTATGTCACACAAAGAGGGGGTGAAGGCTTCTTAGGCCACATGAAATAGATGAATGAATCTAAGGTCTTCCCTTAGATCCTCATGTGCTTATATACATGTAGTGGTGGACCCTGGGTATCCTAACCATGGTGTACTTACTGGGGTCCTGTCCTGTCTACATGTGAACATATTGCCAACATCAGTAATGGTTCTGGACTTTTGCTATAGCAACTATCTATAAAGGCCATAGATATGCCAAGGTAATCCTACTTTACCCAATGAGATAATTGCCTGAAGGTGGTGCCACTATATGAGTAGCTGAGGTGGTGCCACTATTTGAGTAGCTGAAGTGGTGCCACTTATTGAGTGGCCAATGGGGGTTCTGCCATAGCGCATATTCTAATGCTGATGCTACTATTTGGCAGCCATGTAGTTGGTGCTGCTATTGAGCAGCGAATTGGGTGCTTGCTAGCTTGATGGTCCAATGAGCACAGGTAAGCCTATTGTGGGCCAAAGAGTTTAATTCTGGGCAAGTGGCCTGGTGTCACGTGACCAACACCTGATAACTTCTGAATAGGGCAAGTGGCCAGTGTCACGTGACTGGGTGGCTGAATCATGGGTGCTTGATGGTCATGTGGTAGACACAGTCATATCCGTGATGTATATGGTGGTATTGTGCTGTTTGTCTAAGTATCCACTTTGCGAGATCAATATGAAGGTTGGCATCTGAATAACCACTTGTGGTTGCCAAATGATGACTTTATTGGTGCAAAAAGAAAGGTGCCACTTAATACTGTGACAGATGACCACTATGCAAAGCTTGTTCACTTCAAGCGAGGCTTG